AGACACACTGACATCACCCATTGTTTTTTTTTTAATCCACAGTTTCAGTCTTTATCTGGTCAAAATGTGTTCTTATTTCTTGTAGCTTAAAGCCAAACACATTCTATCAAACTCAAATTGTAGTTGAAAGAAAAGTAGAGTAAACTTTGGTAGAAGCGCACTCAAGCAAAGACCTCCGCCTCAATTATGTGAGTGTCTCATGCTTCTGTGCATTTGGGGAAGAAATCAGCAGTGAGTGAAAAAGAGTTTTGGAGGAGTCAAAATATTCTGTTTCTTTGATCTATGTTTGATTTATGGCACTAGCAAATGACCAAACCCGGGCAATCACCTCTCTCTCCCTTTAGTTTACTCTATGTATTAAAACGTAACAAGTCAAACAGTTACTTTTTGGACTGTGGAAGTGATATCATAGCCCATAGCCAATTTTTTTAAAAGTTTAAATACAAACAAATTAAGACACAGACTTTTTTAATGCAGACTGAGACGAGATGTTGATGGTTCCATGTTGTTATGTGTGTCTCTTAAGAGTCAAATGACCGTGTAAAGTGTGGTTTAAGTTCTGGTTTAGGTGTTCCTGTTTACACACTATGCATGCAGGGTTGCCAGGTTGGGTGGTTTCCCGCATACTTTTTTCCAAGAGACTTGTAGATAATAAATAAACAGAAAGACAATAAACAGAATCATGGTAGCCCAAGTTGATTACATTACGTTTTTAGCGAAAAAATCATTCTGGGTGTTTTTTTTGGGCATTCTCGCGGGTTTTGTGCTAGAAAATCTTGCCGGCATTTGGCAACCCATGGGAGTCGTGTGCTTCAATGTGAGTGGTTGAAGGAAGACGTCATTCAAGATAACAGACAAGTGGTTTGTCCAATCACATACAAGGATTTTTTGTTTTTACACGGATCGGCCTTCTGAAATCCAACCGCTGTGGCTCAGACCCAGACCCATGTGAGAAGCGCAGCGATCTACAAGGGTCTGGCGAGAGTCAGGCTAGCGATAACATCCCATATTCAAACTGTTACAACGTTTTAAAATCTCTATAGGTTGATTTAAATATTTGTAGTAAAAAAAAAACAACCACCAAAGGCTTGAAAGCTCGAAATGAAATTAACTCCATTGTGAATGACCTTGTGCGTGTACTCTAAATATGAATACATACCATACTTTGAATTACTTGAGTTACCCGAGGAAAGATGTTGAGGCTAATGCTCTTTGCAGAACTTTTGAATTCCAACCATTTCACAATCAATTCACCATAGTTACTACATGACTCCACACAGCCGCATTTGGATACATAGCAACAATGCTCTCCGGCGGTTTGGAATAAATTATTAATTCAATATTTTAATGATCAGAGTTCCTGGGGTGATCAAAGCTGTGACTCAGGCTCCAGTGTCTTCACTTGGTGAGAAACTCCTCTGTCCTTTGATGTGCTTCACCAACAAATTCACCAATCTCAATGTGAGTCTGTCCTCGACGCCGCGTCTAACTCTGCAAGAACTGTGCGGAAAAGGTCACTCGATCCTTTCTGTTCCAAGGATATATGTGCATTTATAAAAGAAAAAACTATGTTCATAAAGATTCACTTTGATGAAGAAAAATGTGCGGTCAGCACGAGTTGAAGAGAAAGTTCTGGTGTTGATATCAGTCTTTTTATTCAATTTACCCACTCCATAGTGTTTATTTATTCAGTATTCATTATTTGTTTGATCAATTTCTTATCATAAGATTGGTCAGAGCACTGCAACTTGTGTATAACAACATAAATTAAACAATAGATAATGCCGTGCAACACAGGCGGCACGGTGGCTGAGTGGATAGCACTCTCGCCTCTCAGCAAGAAGGTCCTGGGTTCGAATCCCGGTTGGACCAGGGACCACTAAAAATATGTACAATAGGTATGGCATGTGCCTCCTGTACTGGCACCCCCACTCAACAATTGTAAACCGCTTTGAGACTCCAATGTGCAGTGAAAAGGCGGTATATAAATAAAAGCTTACTACTTACTTACTTACAGGCAGGTGTTTTGAGCTATGAATAATGGCCTAGCTAGCCTAACACTTTTGGTTTGTGAGTTATGTTATTTTGGATGGTGGATTAAAACATGAATGAATGAATAGATACATTCATGGGCGGCATAGTGGCAAAGCAATTAGCAGCTTCTTGCGGTGCAGGGTATGAGACCACCTCCAGACAGGGCTGTGTGAAGGTTTGCATGTGTTTGCATGTGTAGGTTTACTCCAGGTGCCCCGGTTTTCCGAGTCGGTCCGATTTCCTCCATGTGCACCGGTTTCCTCTGCTCTGGTTTCCTCCGGGTGCTCTGGTTTCTTCCCACCGGTTTCCCCTACCAATTGAAATATTTACAAAGGGTTTGAATATAATGAGTGTTCTCTGCATCTCCTTTCTGTCATCACCGTGTGTAAACGGAAAAATATCGGTACAGCATTTTGTGTGACCTTGGTCTGTGAAACGTGCTACATGAAAAAGGTGACTTAGTTACTTACTATAAACACATGAATAATAATAACTTGTGCAATGACACTCGTCTTGTTCAAACACAGTCCTCCTTTTTCACTGCAATCTCAACATGAGACAAGCAGAGGTCACCTTTACGCTGTATATTATCATACATGTAATTGGTTGAAAACGTGTCTATGTCACAAGATGTTGAATAAAACATGTGTAGGAGAAACGTCATGATGAAGGAGAAAGCCTGCAGTAACACACAGCGAATGACCAGTCAGTTCAATGCAAATGAGTCTCTCCTTAAATAGACCTGAGGGTTATTCTGCTATATATGCAGACACCACTATAGTCTATTTTTAATTATATTGTCAGAGAAATACAGATCATATTTTAAATGCAAATGAGCTGACCCCGTGTTGCTTTCGGTGTCACTCAGCTAGTCAGCAGCTTGTTAAAAATGACCCCTATGTTGTTATGCAGATATGATTTGGACGAGGTGTTTGGAATTATAAAGATTTGATTCGATAGTGTTTCTTTTTTACAATGAACAGGACAAGTGAAATATCAAGAATGTTATTAATATCCCTCTCACCATCAGTGTGAATCTTTGTCACTTAGCCCCAGGGCCCTGGAGGTAATCAATACAAGACAAAGACCGCAACTTCAGCCTATTGTTTTCTCTAACAAATGTACGTACTGCACAATACCTACACCAAATCAATAGGTTTTCACTGTTCACTTAATGCCAATATTGACAAAGGTTCATGGCTGGCAAGGATCTGGTTAAAGGGACTGTATGTAAGTAAGTTAGTAAGTAATCTTTATTTATATACCGCCTTTCACAGACCAGAGTCACAAAGCAGTTTACAATTGTTATTTTTTTTGGGCATTTGTCCTCTCACTCCACACAGAGATGGGAGCGGGGTTGCCAGTACGCCAGTAGGCGCATGCCAGACCTATTGTACATGTTTTTTTTAGGGAAACCGGAGTACCCGGAGGAAACCTATCCAGACACGGGGAGAACATGCAAACTCCACTCAGAAAGGCCCTGTTCCGACTGGGATTCGAACCCAGGTCCTTCTTGCATATTTGTTTAAAGCAGATATATCCACACAGAGGTCAGAATGTGCCTCTTATTAGGGTTGCCAGGTCCACTTTACAGTTTCACTTGCCAGTTGAAAATGCATATTTTATAATTGATTTCATTTACCCAGTAAGAGTGCAAAATACATTCGGGCACCACGATGGCGCAGTGGTTAGCGTTTGTAGCAAGACGGAAGAAGGTCCTATAGGTTCGAATCCACACTCAGGGCTTTCTGTGTGGAGTTTACGTGTTCTCCCCTCCTGCGTAGGTTTTCTCTGGGTGCTCCGGTTTTCCCTACCAACTAAAAACATGTACAATACTGTAGGTCTGAATGTAATGAGAGAGTGAATGAATTGTGATTGTCGGGGCTTTGATGCGCCGGTGTGTTTTGTGTCTCGCTTCTGTCATCACTGATGGAGGGAGCAGGAATTACTGGAACACCAAAAGTTCTTTGTGTGACCTTAGTCTGTGAAATGCACAATATAAATAAAGATTACTTACTTACTGTACATACGGCCCTGTACTGTAAAGCTGAAAAGAGTGTAATGTTAAGCACTTTTTCAGATTTAGAATAGATTTTTGTGCAAAAGTATGCCTGTTGAAGCAGAAAAACAAGCGAACAACTATGAATTATTTACTATAGAGGGGTTGCTTTTTGTTGTTGTCTCCAAAGAAAGGCTGTGTTATTGGGGTTGCCTGTCCATCATGAACAGCTCAGTGGGCGTGCACCTCTGATCCGCAGTCAACGTGAAAAAAACCCGGGTGTGCAATTACCCCTGGACAGAATGTCATCACCAAGTTGCCTCCCGTCCCATTGTCCTCCTCTCCTCCTCCTATGTGTCCCTCTCGCTGCCTGTTTCTTTGTATTTTCTTTGCAAATCTAGTCTTGTACCCGGGCTTATTATACCAAGTACAAAGAAAACAAAATTGGTGATTAAAAATTAAATACTCTTATCTCTATGTGAGTTATCTCGGTCCCCTGGGAGAAGATGCTATTTCGCAAGCTCGCGGGTTGCTTTTGTTCCTTATTTAGAAGCTTGTCATTGTTTATTGTGAGTTCTTGATGGCCCATTTGATATAGTGTGTTCACTCTCCCTCTGTGACATGTGGATAAAACATCTTTATCAAAGTGTCACTCAGATCAGACTTTGCAAAGGTGTCAAAGACCGCTGTGTTCTTTACATTTGTGGAGGGAGTGTGAACCCGGCTGCATCAGCGCGAGAGGAAATCAATATCCAAAATTTCAATGGCGGCTATGAAAGCGGAGTGCAAAACCGCAGATCTATCGGGCTGTCAATGCTTGAACCGCCAGGCTTTGAGTGTGCACGGGGGGTGAAAAGTGGAAGTTCGTCTGCGGAGTCTAAAGCTTCTATTTTCATTGTAAATCTTTTCTTTTCTTTTTTTTTTGACGAGGAAGGTTTTTGAAATGATTGTTCTTGTGTTGTTGCAGGAGGCCTGTCAACTCGCCAAGATCTCGTCAGTCAATGTAAGTTTTTCAATATCATTTTTATAACAGTGCTTTTATATCTGTTGTTTTAGAGAAAGGAACAAGATAATCTGTCTGAAAATGGGTGTATTTCCACAAAATCCGGATGTATTTCTTATTGAACCATTTTTCACTGCAAAACATGCTTACAGTCTGGCATATGGCATTGGTTCTCAATAGGTGGGTTTTCGTGATCATTTTGAGTGGACCGTGATAAGCCCGGTAAGGTAATCAATCTATCGCAACTTATTGATTATCAAATATTTGTTAACACTAATTAATTTTGATTAATCGTTTTTAACAAAGACTCTTGTGTCTTTTGTGTAAATTTAAGCATCCAAATATTTCAGCAGATTTTTAAGCATGCCTTTATAAATATTGACATTTTTTTAATTCTTGTTATTGCTCTATTTGAAAAAGCAAAATCCCAGTGACATTCTGTTCCCTTACAATAGTAAAACAAAAACCAATTCTGATTATAATGACTGGAGAATTACAAACTATTTTTAATTCAATGTTCTCGAGGGGCATCACTTTGTTATGGTCAAATGTATAAAAAATCCATATTCAAAATAACTATTGATTACACTGCAAAAAATAGATACAAATAGAAATAAGTATTATGCCCTTTGTTTAAGAAAGCATTATGAAGATAAGATAAGAAAGTTTAATTTATTTGTCCCACAGTTGGGAAATTTTGTTGTTGCAACGCACATACACGACAGTAGAAAGAGCACACAGGGAGCACACAAAATTAACAAAATACAAAATAAGTTGTATGTCTCTTAACTAACTAAACTGTAGATGCTGTAAATGCTTCAATACCAGTCAGAGTTATGTACATATGGGGCAGGATAATAAGTAGATAAAGTAGAAATGTAAGAAATGATATTAGCTTTGTATTTGCATTAAACATTTATGAAACAATCTGTGGAAATATACAGTTGTCATTATTTCAATACTAAATTCAGTTATTGTTTGGATTGTGTCTTAGTGTCATACGTTGGTGGTGGATCTCGGCACAGATCCAGCAGAGAACCACTGGTAAAGAGTGAAAGTTGAACTAAATGTCCAAGTTCAGTTCTATATTGACTGAAACAAGTTATAAAATAGCACTTAGTGAGTTCCTCCATTACGCTCTGCTAGGTGAGAGTTGTAGACCATTCGATTTCTTCCTCATTGTATTTTCCTCACTCTTATACTATTTTTGCACGGCTCTATGCACACAGTTCACCTGGTCTGGGCCTTCTCCAGTTGTCAAGAGTTCATCTGCGAACTTTCCAATAGTTGCAACAGAAAAAAACATGTCCACAGTGTGAAATATTCTTTGCTCAAGAAAGGTACATCTCAGGTCATTTGTCCACAATACCCAAGGTTCTCAAAACGTTGCCAATGTATTCTGAAAAATTGCACATACAGGTTCAAGCATGCTCCAGTTTTTGTCCTTCGGTGTATAGCTCACATTATGAATGCATAATAATGTAAAATAGAGAATGTTTGTCCAATTTTGACCCAATAATCTCTCGCTGTGCATGCAAAATCACCTCCCTCTTGCTTGTTCCTGCTAAGTCAACATTTCACACACAGTGGCGCATCACCTCTCATAATAGTGAAAAGCGGCGGACAAAAAGAATGAAGAGACATCACATGCAAAACACGGCCCTGTTATTTTCCCTGTTTGTCATTTGAATAAATACATTGCTTATCTGTTTTTGCCCCTCTGCTTGTGGCGTGTGTGACATGTCAAGTCACCATCTCCTCTGAGCGGATGTATGCGGGTCTAGGTGTGCCTGCGAGCTGATTCTTATCTGAAATGGCAGAGCCCATCTCCCCTGATTCACTCCTAAGTGGTCCCTGTTTATCACTCAGAGAGGCGCTTGTCAGCCAAGTCCCTCTCGCTGTAGCACAGACTTCTCTGCTATTTTCCAGACACTGGCAGTTGGGAAAAAACTGACATAAATAAAACACAAGACCCGAAAGAAGTGGTCTGGTGGAGGACAAGGCTGCTTCTATTTGGACACCTCTTTGCACCAAGCTGTATATCATGATACAAGCAAGCAAAAGCAGGAATCCAATAATTGAAATAATTGGTGCTTCATCTGAATCCCAATTCCCCTCTGCTGTTTCTTTGCCGACCGGGTTCAGCATCCATTATTTGAATGATCTCCTAACCCCTTATACCCCTTGCCAATTTTCTCTTAGATGAAAATCAAAAAAAGTGTGAATGTTTTAGGACCCTTTGCAGTGCTAACACATAGTTGGACTCTTTGTGATACTGAAGCACTGTAGTTTTGGCCTCTAATGATTCATTTATAAGTGGGAACAATCTCTGCACAGAGAAAGATCAAGCTCCACAGTAGGGACCTATAATAAAACAAAAATGTCCAGGTGCATGACATGTGACATGCCCATTATCTGTTAGGGATAGGGCTAAGTTTTATTTATTATTTTCTTAGCAAAGAGATGGGCCCCAAAATAAGTGATATTATTTTAATTTTTTCGAAATAATGGTGACAGCTCACAACATCTAACTGTTAATTTGTATGGATTGGCAGACACACTGATCAGCCTTCCCTGCCTAATCTATGCCGTGGTGCTGGAGAATAGACTACAGCCAATAGTTGGACCTTAAATTCAGAAGCGGGGTTGTTTTGGTTCTGGCTGCAGAATGTTGGCCAGCCGCTATCTCCTCCATCAAGTACTCAAGGGATCATGGGAGTTCACCCAACCTGTCCTCACGTACTTTGTGGATCTGGAGAAGCTGTTCCCAGGGGTGTTTTTTCAGATGGTGTCGGGGCTGTTCCAGAGCAGCCCTTTGGCACTAGTTCTGTCTAATGCCTTTTGAGCATGGACACACTGGGGGATTCCGTTGTCTCAGGTTTGATTTAGTTTTAAACAACAGGTCTTTGCCTTTGCTATTGGCGGATGATGTTGTCTGGTTGCCTTCATGAAACCAGGGTCTCCAATATTCTAAACACCGGGACTATTAGAATGTAAAAAAAAAGAAATTCAGCACTCAGATGAATGCACATGTATCTCTACCCTAATTAAAAGTGTTACCCGTACACACAAGCAGTTTCAAGTGCCCTCAGCTCAAGCCTTACAGAAAGAACCACTACAGAGACATGGACCCTGCACTTTAAAATCTATATATAAAAGGTTTCTAATCCTCAAATCCCACCCCATCTGCGATCAGTTTGGGCAGTTCCCAGACCAATGGCAGGGGATTGGCTGGCATGTTATAGGAGTTGGCACATGGCGCTCTTGTTCTTTTTTATCTGTGTTTACATACTTCTTAAGGCGTTCTTTTATCGGGCTGAGCAGGCTTTGTTTGGTCTTGATATCTCTTACCACAGCTTGTCTTTGCTTTATGGATTCCTGGCAGCGTCTTTAAATAAGTGATAATGCCTAGCAAAACACTCACCTTGACGTGACGGTGAAGGGGTTTTTTTTTGGTTCGAAGAGAGATATTTATTTAACAGTCGTTACTTGTAATTAATATTGTACAGCTGAAATTTTGGGCATAATCAAAGTTCTTCTTTACCATCTGGCTGCACCGTGAATGAGCCGCAAGACAGAATGAAGTTGCTTCCTTGTGCCAAAGTGTTTTGTCCTGATTGTCACAGACAGCTGTTTGTTCTCATAGATTTTGGATGGCATTGTCGAAGAAGTTTCCAATAATTAGAGTCATAAGGAGAAAAAGTGTTCTTTTTGTCACGTTGCCAGAGTGCTGTAAGTGGGGCTTTTTTTTCTCTGCGAACCTAGACTAGCATATCCTCAACTCTGCCATTAATTTCAGAAATTGCTGCCAAGGCAAAGTATTTAGACGGTTTGAAAGTGTGGGTAAACATATGCAGAAGGAATGGCTTTGCCAACGAGCTGCTCATCACTCTACTGTCCTATAAAAGGAAAGGAGGTCATTTTATTTGTACAAAACGTCTTTGAGTTTCAAGCTGTACCTTTGATTATTTGTCATCTTGTGTGATTGTTTCTATCTTGGTTTTTCAAGCACTTTGATTTGTGTATGAACTGTGCCATACAAATAAACTCCATTCCTTGATGTCTGTGGGTAGAGGTCCCAGATGGCAGGGCCTTTCTACACGAGAGAATGCAGGTTCTCCCTTTGGCCACCACTAATAAAATACTGTCCACACAAACAAACTTTGATAACTGGACACTGCATGAATATGTGTGAATATATTTTTATATTATTTTTTATCTATTGCATAATCAAACCGCACAAATTATTTCTTTGAATTTTGTTAAGTTAATGTATTCTGAATACCTTCAAAGACAGTAATTCGTTTTGGCAGATGAACCGCAACAATGGTGATGTGAGCATTTGTTGAAAATACTGAGGTTCCAAAACGACTTGAGTTGAAATTGATAAGGTCAAAATGTCACATTCATTCAGTTCATACTAGTTTTGTTATTCCAAGGTTAAGGATTCCAAAACTCAGATAATCACTTATTTCTGTATCTGAATTTGCTAAAAAGTTAAACCATCCATCCATCCATCCATTTTCTACCCTTTAATCCATTTCTGGGTCAGGGGGGTGGCAATCAGAGATGCCACCCAAGTCTCATAGCACCAGCCCCTCACTGACCCTCTGCAGGTGGTGAGTCCACAGGAGGACGGCTGCTCTCTGAGTGTGAGCATAGCCTTGATCTTTCAGCTGGGGCTTGGGCAAAGTGGGGTTAAGTGTCTTGCCCAAGGACACAACGACAGCAGTCATCAGTGGGAGTCGGTGGAGAAGGAAAGTTACACCAATTAATGATAACAACTTATTGCATGAAAAGTTATTATATATTTTTTTTTTGTCCATTTTGAGATATTTTATTTGGGGATTTTACCATTCATAGCTTTAAACATTAGAAAAACTTCCTTGATATATTGCACTAGTAATGTATTCTAATGTTGCGTGTTCTGTCCTCTTTTAGTTTCACATTGTGGAACTAAAAAACAATATTCTTATTTCAGTTCAGGACATTTTAAAATGTGGGTTCTTGTTAATTTTATCAGTAAATTATTTGACAATGTATTATGTCATTTGGTTCTGTTTAGGTGCATCTCCTTAACCCTTTGAAGTTATAAAAAAAATTGCAGGTTCATTATTTCATTACAACAGCAGCGATCTTTTAGAAGCACAAATAAAAGGCGCTGGGTGAACTTTCCGCAAACCTCCGACCGAATCAAAGAGCCGCACGCCTTTTGGAAGAAAATGCCCAGACGCCTGTGATCTTTTGTGCGACTCGGAAAATGAAAGTCAGCACCTCCACAGACACCCACCTTCCAGTTCTCTTTTGTGACTATATCTGAAAAATAAATAAATAGAATAGAAAGCCGTTCAACCTGTTAATATACTCGCCGTTTATTTTCACAGTCTCAATTATAAATCTCACACTGCGTTTATTATCTCAGCAGTGGTTTGTGGGACTCTGCAGACTAGAACCCATTTTTGGGTTAAGAGGCCACTGTTTCAATTAATCCCTCCGGTGACAAGATGCAATTTTGTCAAAAGTTCAGAGAAAAGCGTGCGAAGATGATGAACACAGTGTCAGAGATGTACTAAATATACAATCGCCCTTCTAAATGTCAAAGTACGCCCTCATTTATCAGGAAATGCGAAATAAATAGGAGTTAATTATTCATATAGTTTTATCGTGCAAATAATTTGTTTTTTCAATTAAATAATGAATTGAAGTATTTATTCTTTCAGCAGCAATCTGACATTAACTGTCGTCACTAACCTTTATTTTAATGGTCATAATAAACTATAACACACCCCCCTTATACATGATATCTTTGTCACACGAACAAAGAAGATGGATACAAATTTAAGTAATAATTGAAAATAAAGTCAAAACAACAGTCATTAATAATGATACATTAAAGTCATAACTAAACATGAATTAAATTAAACATTCAAGTGCTATTAAACTGTGTCCATATAATTTTTTTTTTTTCAATGCCATGGTACAAACACACACAAGCACAGAAGTTAGCAATATAAGCAAGAAATAAGCACACAAAAAAAAAAATCGACACTATCCTTCTTGCTGCTGTCAGACTGTCGTTTTTATAAGTGCTGTAATTAATAGGTTCAAGGTTCAAGGTATCTTCTTTATCCCCAAGGGGCAGTTTTGTTGCAGCAGCAGAACAGCACATAAACACAAGGAAAAACCAAAAATACACAATAAAACACAACTACAATGACCGGTTTAAAACACCAACGGCAACCGAGTTCTTAAATCTGTTAGTCCTACTTTTAGTGGAGCTATATCTGGCGCCAGATGGAGGCAACTTCAACTCTGGCCACAGTGGGAGGGTGGCGTCTGTAGAGATCTGCTGGGCTCTTTTTAGGATCTGAGCCCCGTGGAAAAGTGACTCCAGCAATTTGGCTTTTTGTTTATCACAAAAAAACGCCCCCTTAGGTAATATTCACATATTGTGTGCTCCTCATTCCAATTGTTCAGTAACTTGTGATGCAACACTGACATTCCCCCACTAAGGGACAAAAAAATGCATTCCTTAATCTTGTGTGTGTTGTATGAATATCAAAACGCGGGCTCGGTAACCTTTTCCGCCCTAAATATGTAAACTATCGTTGTGAGAAAATGTTAAATATGTAGCAAGGGAACTTAACACTTTGATATTTTACTTTCTTCATTTCTTTGCCCATAGCTTGACATTTCCCTCGTACGTGCTGCCCAGCTGAGACAGGAAATGCCAAAACGCACATTAGAAAGCTGCGCATCAACCTAGTGACTTTCTAAGTGTTTTAAAGAGTCGATTCAAACCCTCAACAAGGCTAATAAGAGCTCTAATGAATTTTCATCGGTGTGCTTGAACTATTTAAAGGTTACATTTAAAACCCAAATGGAAGCCTTGGTCACTGCAAGCATTCACCCTTTTGCAAACTCAAGCAAGTGTTTCTGGCAACAGCTCTGGAGGAAGTTGTTGTGAGAGCAAAAAGTGCTACCAAAACTAACTTTGAAACCACAGGCAATTAACTATCTAAACTCTAAAAAATAGTTTGCTTCTTTGAATAGTTTTAACATGCCCTGTTTTGCCCTCTGTTTAGATTGTACCAATATAGAAACAATAGTACCAACCGTCTCTCAGCCAATCAGCTCTCAGTATCAGTGACAACAGTGAGCTACTTCAACTGTAACACCAGAACTCCCAGAGCAGTCAATTTGACGGCTTTTAGTTCCAATCTTACATCAAGATGTAGTTTATCACGTCTTTTTGTTTTTTTAGGAAATCAATTTTTATGTTTTTAAATTTGAGTTATTTTCCACCAGAGAAGAGCAAGGGTAGTTACCATAGTGACATACTGTCTGCAGGTAGCATTCAGTTAGCCTCTCAACACATTATTTTTGCTTTAATTCAAGTTATAATCAACAGTTTTAGCTCCTATTAAGAGTTAGTTACTTTTGGTTTAACTGGTGAAAAATTAGACAATTTTGGGGGGTATTTTTTAGATTTCCATTGGTCTGGGAATTCTATTAGTTCCTGGGAGTCCTTGTGTTAAAGGGGCAGCTATTTCAGGAATTTACCATAATCCTTACATTCATGCATTTTTCATGTCCACCTTAGGCCTGCTCTCTCATCACACATGGTCTATTTTAAAGTTAAGTTAGATATATGATGGTTGGACGATGTACTCGTGTTGGGCAGGATACTCTGTGCTGAATTGAGTGACAACAGGTGCAGAACAAAATCACCTGCTGCGACTGCGGCGACAGCGATCTGTCCCGTCTGTCCCATCATTCTACTTTACTTTATTGTGTGCCATGTGGTGCTATAAAATCATCCGTTAAATCTGTGATTCTGTGATAAACAATTAAAGCTTTTCCATGTCGCTTTCAACATAAATGCTCCAGTGTTTACTATGTGGTATATGGAGAAGGATTGCTCGATGAGTCTGAGAAAGTGAAACAAAAACAGGTCAATATTTTTATTCCACCTCATTGAATGAAAGTGTATGACATCACAGTTACAGATCATGTCATCATTAAGGTACTAAAAACAGAAAAAAATAGAAAACACTAAAGCTGCTCGAGCGGTCATAGAGGTGATGGACTTTATCTTTACTACACCGTGCCACATAATTAACAGGATTAGGCTTCTTCTAAATATTATCTAGTGTGTTTTGATGTCCACACAGAGTAGGTGATGGGGGAGAGGTGTAGGGTCAGAGAGTGTTTGCGTGTGGGTGTGCTTTGTGCTATGTTGTATTAGTGAGAGTAGCTGGAACCAAATAGATATAGTCATTTTCAAAGTATGTATTGTGGTATATTTTTTTTATCCTCTTTGTTTTCTGTCTTTCGGTGTACATAATTTTGAAGAAGTAATTTACTATACTATACTACTATACCCATAATCATTGCATTTGTATTTAACTAGGCTATAATCAGCTACATAAATCCTATTCCTGATGTTGTTTTTCATAGACGCAGCGGCGCGTGACGTTCCACCTCCCGGACGGCTCCCAGGAGAGCTGCAGTGACAGTGGGCTGGGCGACCCGGATCCCAGCAGCACCAGCACCGTGCAGACTCTGCCCCTCAGCTTCCCCCAGGACGAGTACTACGAACAGACCTCCCCCAACAGCCGCACCGAGGGAGATGGCAACTCCGACCCCGAGTCCAGTAAGCTGCTCTGCCTTCTTTCATTTCCCCATCTGCATTCTTCACAAACTAATATATTCATCATTGCTATTCATAAAAACTGACTGCGTTTCATGAAAAAGCCAGATATGTTTATACCTCTAAAATTAGAAGTCTTTCAAAATGTATTCAAATGATTCAGAAGACATCTGTCACTGCATGGCTTACTGCCCAATGTTGTTCCTCTTTAAAAGCCCAGTTAAGGAAGTTGCACACATTCCATCCACAAGGTTTAGTTGGAAATGTCATACTTTTGAGAGTGGTATTTATCGAGTTTTCACTTTGTGTCCTTCGTGTGGTAAAACAATTTAATTCCAGATTACCTGATGGTTGATTGGAAATACAGTAAGAAATTCTCAGCAGCAATTCAAAGATATATATTCATTTATTTATTTCAATTGTGGACATAACAATACTAATATTACAATTGCATTTCGAATAACTGTCGTCTTGTCACACAAAGGAAAAGGATCATGATGATAATAGTAACGCATCGGTTTTACATATAGCGCTTTTCAGGACACTCAAAGACGCTTCATGTGTCGTTATTCTTTCACTTCCACAGCTGCCCTCGGGTACTCTTACAGAAACGAGGCAACCAGTATGTGCCATCGGCCCCTCTGAACACCACCAACCATTCACACACACACCAGACTTGTTCTAGGAAATGTGGGTGAAGTGTCTTTCCTAAGGACACAACGACAGTGTGGCACTTTACAGCCGCAGCCGCCCCACTGTGGCACCTGTTACCCAGAGGTCTCCCATCACAGTACTTATCAGGCGCTTTCCTGCACAGCTGGCTTTTGCATGCAAGTACTATGTCCGCTAACAAGGAATATAGGGAGTTTAAAAGCTATCATAGGGGACCAAAATATATAGGGTATTTTTGCAGAATAATTGAGCGAAACACCAACGCTTAATTCTTCATTTTACACGCATCATTGAGGTTGTGGTTTTGTTCAAGTTTGGCTCAAGGGATTGCTATCTCTCCATTTCAAAAATACATCACGGCGCCTATATGGTGCTATATTCTTGTCCATGGTCCTTATGAGCATAGCCGGAGTTTGCTGTTCATCTGATTATGTCAGTGTAAGAGTGTGACCACAGTCCTGGGTCCTGCCCCCTGCAGCAGCTGTACTGACAAACTATGGGCTGTGGGTGCCATGGAGAGTGTGATGTGAATACATTTGTACTGCATAAGACAAGATGGGCGACATCCTTCTCATTTGCATTTTCAACTGTCTTTCTCACACATTATTTGTCAATTTCCACTAAGTTTATCCCCACCCTTATTATATATACAACAGGCTGCCCTTTACTATCACACATTTGGCACAAATATCTAACAATCTCTCCCCAGCTGGCCATTTTAAAAAGGAACGACACCCTTGATTCATGTATGGGATTCACTCTAACACAGAAGCCTTCGCTCATCATCACATTAGCATTCAGCGACAAACATCTCACATTTCAGAAACTCACTCAAATCATTCAAACTATGAACTTCTTACCCATTATCCTCAGGGAGTAATATGTGTTAAAACTAGTGAATATATTGTTAAAGTATGAAATCTGCATGAGCTTTTTGTGTTTTCACTGAATACACAGTCACAAAGTTTAATATCTGAATGTAATATTGGTATTTGAACAACAGAAAAAAGTAATTTTGGTTATCTGACCACGGGGTTCATTTCCCAAGCTCAATTGTCACCTTATCGCACTGGAATGAGTATTAAAGGTGGACTGACAGCCGGTATAGCCAGATTTACATATGTGAACAATGCAGCAGTTTTCATAGTTTTAGGTTATATGCAAAGAAAACATTAATATTAACTCAAATCCAAGCTCACTGTATGTTTGAGTAAGGAATCTATTCATTTAAATTCATGTGTAACATTTGCATATTGGCAAGGCTATTATGCAACCTTTCTAATGAATACATGCATATATTGGAATTATTTTATTAGCATAGGGTATTCATTAAATAGAATACGTTGGTCCAATATTCTGTTTGATGGCATGATACATCGCATTCAAGTTCAAGCATTTAAACTTTAACAGTTAATTGCTATATACTATGTACAATGTGTAACTAATATGACTTGATTATACATAAAAAAGTCCATATCAAAAAGCCAGGGCTCTTTGATAGATGAGGTAAAAGTTCATAGACAGAGTGGTTTTCAGATCCATCCCTCCACAACAATCTGGCACAAACATAATGTAACTCCGCCCCTCTGGCTAAAAGCTCGTGTCTCAGAAGATAATGTCGGTTCTTAACATTTATCAAAATTTATGGACATTGGTCATTTTTGGACAAATGGCTCTATGTGTTATTATCATTGCATTTCTTGTGTTTCAACTCTTTGATTCTCTGATCTGTGTTGGCAAATTCAACAGTTTTGTAAAGTCCTCCGAGATAACTACTGTTGTGCTTTATGGCGATATAAGAAGACATTGAATTGAATTGAAGTACAAACAGGGGAGCAGCAAAAGGATGTTCTGGACGTAGGTGAGAAGAGGGGTACGACAGTAGCATAAAACTAAATGGTCCTGGCAGCATTTGCAGTTTTTTTTTGTTTTTTTTACAGAAAGAGGACTTCTAGCAAAATTGAACTAAATGCCTTTAACTTGGCTGAACTTTTAAACTTGGGAGGCAAAAATATTACGATTGAAAAAAATCTTGGAAGAAAATAACTTACAGATCCAAGTAGTATATCTCCCTGAAAGAGCCGTAAGCAGGGATGCAGGGGAAGCTATAAAATATACATGCACTAATATAAATAAAAACATGATGTCTACAGACATCTACGGACAGAACACTTTTCTGTAAGCCTATTTATTTGCGTACAACACAGTTATGGTGGCTATACAGAAAGAGAAAGGGCTATTTCAAACGACAAACCCCACAGTTTACAGGCTCATGTGAAAAGAAACACGCATTCTAGAAACGCATTTAAACATTCAGTAATTTTAGTCTGCCATACGCTTCACTTTCAGTCTTTTTGGAATGCATGAGCTTACTGCTATAAAAACAATGTGTTCAGGTGGCACAGACAGATGGAACACAGTTTTACCGGTGCACTAGGTTTGTGCGGCGATGGTTCTTATAGCCGTCTCACTTTTAGAAGCAGAAAGAAGGAAGTGGAACGCGGGGAAAAGGTGTTTAGTGAAGAATCTGGATTAGATGAGTGAAGCATGGAGCGGAAACGGTGCAGTCAAAAAAAAAGTATTGTTTCTAAAAAGGTGCTTAAGACTGCTCCTGAATGTCAACTGCTCTGAGTAATTGTCTGTGCCAAAGGCGGAGCATGTGGCCTTCTTCTGACAATGAATTTCTCAACTCCTTTAAACCTGCATCTTTATTAGCACACCCACACTTGAAATAAAGTTCATATGACATTTTATGTATCTATTATTTATGAGGAAGGCGGCGGCTGGTTTTACGGGCCTCAGCTTCCCCCTGTGGGCTGACTCCAGCACCCTGCCATCACTCTTCTAGTGCCGTCTCTAGTCACACATGGCTGCGTTGCTTTTGATTTTCCCCCTTGTGTCTTAGCAAACAGCTAAAAGCAAAACATAAATATCATTAGCATGTGTGGTAAGGTCCAACCCCCGACAATCGTTCTTGCACTGCACTATTACAGAAGAGCAAAGCCACCACGATTAGCCGTGATGAATTGTACCTGTCCCTCTTGGCCAATGAGCGACACTTCATCAACACATCAAAAAGAAACAAACATAATGATATGCGACGCAGCTCAGCTTGCAGAAAAAAAGAGCTTTTCCACTTGAGAGTTTGCGTCTGGCAGATCAGCACTGTCCTTGTTTCAGCCAGTTTCATTTGAATGCTCTGGATGTGAGCGTGCTGTCACCAAATCACTACAGCCTGTTATTTCTGACGCAATACATGCAAACACACCACTCTGTTCTGGCATTATGTTGATAACTAGTTATGCTATACGTGCTGGTTATGTTTATCTGCACTTTTCCAGAATGACCAAAATGACATCCCTAAAAGCTTCTCCTGATGATGGAAATCACCATGTCAGCCAACAGTGCTAAGCTTTCAGACAAAGTGCAGCAAAGTGGGAGCAAATCCCCTCCGTCTAAATCCTGCACATTTCTCCAACAATAGACAATTTTGTTCTCTGGATGATTTGTAATATACTTATTTCTTTCTCCTGTTGTCGGAGTTGAGGGATTTAAAGCTATGTGCCTTTGCCCGCTTACAAGCAGCTCAGGAAAGTCAGTTTTTGAAGTACACTGCATAAGAGGAAAGAATTTGAAAAGCAGTACTTGTGCTATAGCCGCATATTTTAATCTGTGGCATATGGCTTTCAAATGACCCGCTCACACCTTGTCAGTCTACAATCTAAATCTGTGATTAAAAGTTGATCCCTTTTAAGTACTCCGCAATAATAAGATTAAAATGATTTTGCTGTGAAGTGAATTACAAAATGTAAGTATTTACAATATAATTTCATTGTCATAAAATAACTTTTTGTTGGTAACAGGGCTGAAGAAATTGCAAAACTGTTTTTTTTTATTTTCTTTGTATGGTCTATTATGGACAATAGAGGATGCAGTGTCCCTGATTCCAGCAGACATATAATCAGATTATACTGAGCCCATGCCGTGCCATGGTCAGGATTCTTTCATTTCGATTCCGTAAAGTCTAAATAATAGCTCTCAGATTAAATTTCCAGTTGAATGATTAACAACTGCCCTCTTGCTTGTCTTTGAAAAAGGCCACTTGACTTGATCTAATGTGCCAAACCCGTGCTGCTGCTTGCATTTCTAATGTTTTACCCGCTCCATGTTAGAATTCCTCCACTAAAAAGAATGTACCGCTTTTATTTGTGCAGATGTTCTTGTTACAACCACAATTTGTTTTTTTCCTCCCAATACTAAGCATGTGATTTATTGACACAGACGACTTTGCGGTATTCAGTACAGTTAGCCACGTTAATTATTCATACTGG